TGTAGAATATATGTATTATATAATTATAAATTATAATATGCTATATAATAGCTAAAATATAATATGCTAAATAATTATAAATTATAGGCTATACAATATTATCAATATTTTATTTGACACGTCACCGTTCGAGTTTTAGCCCCAAAACGTTGATACAAATAAAACCGAGAAAGTTAGAGATCGCGGCAAATACAGCAGCTATCGCGGTACACTGAAAGGGGTGTTAATTATTGGAACAAGCAGACATTAAGACACATTAATACTTAGGTTCCGAGAGCAGGATAGAATGTATGATCTCCGTCGTCCGAGTAATTGCACAGCTTTTTTCACGACCGATTGCAAAGGATAGCTCATGCAACGGAAACGAGAGCAGCGGCGATGACAGAAGTGCGATTAGTCGGCGGTATGGTTTTCTATGATCGCTGTCCGACATTAAATCGAAGGCTAAACGTGCCTCATGGGCGTATACCATGTAGCTGGAATTCTGATTGGATACGGAATAGCGGGCCTCTCAATTAGTCAGCACGCCTCGCACGCGTTCAAGAACGCACGGTAGCACCGTTAATTAATGGAGCAATAAATAATCCTAATAAATCCTACTTCTGCTCGATTGATAGTGTCACATTTTGAATTGACAGGTTTATCGGTTACCATCCTGGCGGCTTTATGCAGCTTTGGACCAGGTGCTTTCACTATGAAACCGTGTTTCATTCGCTTTTTTGTCCACGTAGCAAGCTATTTTATATTATATTATACATATTATTATTATTATATTATATATATTATTATTATTATATTATATATATTATTATTATTATATTATATATATTATTATTATATATATAATCTCCTATATACAGAGTGTTCGAAAAATCATAGTGCAACCGGCAAAGGGATGATTCTACATGCGAAAATAAGTCGAACAAAAAGAAGGCTCCGTTTTCGAGAAAACTGAGTTGTAAGAGCAGTGCCGCCACTCGATTCCTATTCGATAGTATTATTTTTTTAACCTAATTTTTCTCAAAAACGGAGCTCTAAATGAGAAATGTTATTGTCACTTTTCGACTTATTTTCTCATGTAGAATCATCCCCTTGTCGATCCTATGACGAATTTCTGAACACCATACTATATATCTTATTATATAATTTTCTCTCCACAATTATATGAAAATAATTCTAAAAATTGATTTACAGTTTTAAAATGACACTCGTAGGTGAATATTAGTGTGGCTTAAAGGGACAGTAGCATAATTTCTTTGAGATTCACAATTTTCTTAGCAACGTTTTAACATCGTTTTAGTAAATTTTACATATATTTACGAGAATTTTTTCATAATTTCCTATTGTTCAAAGTGGATGATTTTATTAACTGCTTAAAGTTCATAATAATTGACACGCTGTAAGAAATTGTACAATGTTTGATCTATTTTTAATAAAAGTTTAAAAATTTAGCATATTAAACATCAGTAGCGGACTGCGGATCTTTCGGATCTTCCTAAAACAAAGTGCATAGATAATGCAGATCGTATTCATAAACGATTATGCTTTGATTAATTATCTCATAATTGTGCCGCCACGTGTCGGTCTTCAGAAGGTTAATTAACACGGTTACTCGATCTTGTTCGCAGATCGAATCTAAACGAATCTAAATTATTTCGACGAAGTTACACACACTACCATAGAATTCCCATGTCCATAGAATTCTCAATTCTACGACAGAAAGAGTACCAACGTGGGAGAAGACATCCTTATAGATCATCGTTCGAGAGCAAATTCGATTAACACTTCCGCTTCGGACATAATTGTGATTATAGTGCTTCGTTAATAGACTGCAGATCTTTATGCGGTTCTAAAGGCCAATTTGCAGATTCCAGCATTAATCCAGTAAGTTGTACGCTCTCTCGATCAAATGTAAATGAAACTAAAATAGTATTGGTGCTTTTTTTTTATTTCTATACTGGATTGCCTCCCATCCTTGGTGTTATGCACGCTTAGAATGCATCTCGCTGCATATTGCTTGTGCATCTTTACGCCTTTATAGCAAACGATAGCGAAGGAAGTTCATCCAATATATCGAAATGTACTCCTTTATTTATAATTTATATACATAATTCACCATTCAATTAGATGTTAGTCTGTAACTCACCTAGTTTTATGCAAAAACGAACGCGACATTTAGTGATACTCGGGACACTTCATATTTTACCGTTCATCGAATATTATATCGTTTCCAAGTATAATCTCCGGGGTTTCTAAACGCCATGAATAAATTAGTTAAATGATATAATATAATTCAATTGAGTCAACGCGTTGAATGTCGTTGCTTCAATAAATGGTTGATGGAGTTTTTCTATCCAGACTTCAAAATTGCGTTCGTATATTCAGTATATTTTTTGTTAAGGGGATTGCAATAATAACGAACATTATGCATTTTACTTTTCCAATTTTTATCTCATTAAACAAATTACTCTCATTTTACTTTCGTTTAGCAAAGTGATAAATGATATTTATAGAAATTGCGAGGTGAAAAATCACAAATTGGATCGCAAAATGTTAAAAGCTGTAGATTTACATCAAATCTGTGCGCTTTACGTGTACTCTAGATTTGTGTATATTATATGTAAATTTGCATGCAGATTCAACTGTATCGAAATAGGGAAAAATTGTATTTCGACATATTGTTCCGAGAGTAAGATGATCCAACCCTCGTGACAAAATTAAATATTCAATGTGCATCTGCAACGATGCATATGTCAGCTAAGGTGTTATAGTGCGACATCGGACATATCGGTCCATTGAATTCGCGAATTTTTCAAAGCTTGCCCGAGTAATCGTACCTACTCGCACATATCTATTTACACTTGTGCAATAACCATTGCGCAAATAATGCAAAACAATACTGCAATCGGTGGTCCGATCTGTGCTGCGGTGTTCATTTATCGACGCGAGAATCAAGGCCTATATCGTTGTAAATTATTCGATCTACCGTATTAAGCTGAAACTCGACGCCGCTGAGCTTTTCGTAAGAAAATCCGTGAGTGGTGCGCTCGGGAATGAGTTCCGGAATGTAAAACGTCTGCGATCGTAATACTACGATCACGCGTGTCCTGCTTTTTTGCATTTCAAATACTATGGAAATTTACTGCAATTGCTCCTCGCAATTGTTTCGTGAAACTTCAGGCGCGCGAGCATTGTAAAACAATTTGTGTACGTTGCGAATAAAAAAGATCGAATGCAGCTCTATTAATTGTTTATATACGGTAAATACCGTAAATATTCGAACACATTTTAGAACGTTCGTTCAACTTGAATCTTTATCATATATTAGACTAGTTTTCATTAGACAGTGAGCAAAAATATTATAAAATATTAGAATGACGAAAAATAAAACAATTAAATCGTTTCACCTTTTTTTATCTGAGCTTATATTGGAAACATAAACGATACGTTTCACAGATGTAAATAACTTGTATGAGTACTAAAAATTTCATCGAAATCGGTTGACGTAATTAAGAGCTGCAAACAATCAAAAATTTGTGAAAATCGCAATTCGGATAAAAAGATTCAAAAACATGGTTTTTATATTTTTTCTCTCAGTCCGACCAATCGTAATTTTTGTAAGAAATGTCACAGATTTTCTGTTTCACATTTATTCGAATGATAATAGATGCGTTCGTGAGAAATAATTCAATGTACAATCATTTTAGGGTTAGCTCGGTAGATTCGTTATTAAATGAACCCTCGGATTTGAAAGAGCAAAACCGCAGGTTTAGTTTACCTCCGGGAAGTCGTGTAATAATTCTGTATTGAATTGTGTAAAAAGACGATGGTCGTCGAATTAAAAGGGAAACAATTAGATCGCAAGCACCATAACCTTTACAATGACCTTTGAAACAATCTAAAGCCAGGGGACCGTAGAAATTCCTCGTGCAGAGGTTATTCAACTAGACTTCATTCGCAGGAGTCGTGTTCGGTGTTGAGAATTGTAGTAATGCTGGTACGTAATAGTAGCCTCCCTTCACCTTGGGGTCTTTGAAGGATAACGAAGTTTTTATTGATTGCTCGCAGATTCGTTCAATCCTTTCACGAAAACAAAGAAATGGAGCTCGACACGTTTAATTAAAACTTTTAATAATACTGCTTTTGAACTGTTTACATTCATTTATTTTTATTAACTCTTGACTGGTACGATGACTTTCACAAAAACGACTGATATACCGAGGCCATGATAGAGCCTAAATAAGAAGTACAAAATAATTTGTTAATCTATTTCTTTAGATTCGTTGTATTTTTTATCCATAGCTAGGGTATAAAACAATAAAAGCACGGAAAAGTAAACTTTCCACTGTAAAATAAAATGGGACACCAGTTAGGGGTTAAAAATATTCAGAGAAGTGCAGTAACGAGTCCAAACGAATTTTCATTCAAGACTTTCGACTGCGGATTTTATGCATTCATGAGAAAACTCGGTCAGTAAAGTACAAGACAATGGAAGCATTGGAAGAATTGACAAACATTATTATGTTATTTTCAACTAATTAAAATCGTTGGCAGATGAAATACATCTTCATTGATCCCCTTTCTAATTTCATTTGATTCAAATCATTTTTATTTTGCATAAAAATCCGCAGTACACTTCCAAAATGAATTTCTTAATTGAACATTATTTAAACACGTTAGATGTTCCTAACATTACAACAAAAATACACTGTTGCATCCGAAAAAAAAGTCTAGAAAATCGTTCCACCTAAAAAGCAATTCACCTAACCGTTACAGTTAACTAAAACAATCCGTATAATAGAACATTTTACTCTTCCCTGAAAATTAACTTCCCCAAAAACCGATGGCGTAAAACAACTCTCAAATTTTTGTTCGGTGGAATAAGTCCATAATAATCGCTCACTGATCATCGGGAAGGCAAAGCTGCCGTTCGACGTTATAATAATCTGTTTCGTAGACGTTGTGTCAGCGAGAGATGAATCGGCATGATCGATACTTACGTGTTTGCAGCGGCCGCCACACGGTTTCGGTTAACTCTCACGAAATTCCAGGGATAAACTGTCGGGGAGTCACTGTTCAATTCGGTTCACGGCACAATGGAGGAACGTGCGAACTCTCCGGTACGTGTACGTGCGTATATGGAACGCATCGATCCCTCTGACTGCGAGGGATGGAGCGTTAAATGAGAAACAAGACGTCGGTCAACCTTCATTTATAAGAAAGTGTCCAAGGATTGGACCTTCCGCGGATAGGATCGAGGAAGGGGCACCACCGACAGAGGCTGCACTAATAGGTAAGTATTCTCGCGTGTTTTGCTTACGGTGGGAGCACGGAATACGTACTCTTGATCTTCGATTTCCAAGGTCTTCTCCGGCGATCGCTCGTGGATTGTTCCTGTGGAAGGTGGAAATCGCGAGGAACCGCTCAAATTTTCGATTTTTGACGCGTTGAGCTGCGATGGGGCTCGCGAAAGTTGTTCGTACATCTTCCAAAACAGTGTGACCCTTTTAGAATTGGTCCAAAGGACTGGAATTCTTTTTCAGATGTTGGAGGGTCTGGATCGATAGACAACGAGTACCAGAAGTATTTATAAGAATTGCAATTGGTTGGAATGAAAGAAGAGAATTTAAAAAATTAAAGAAATTATGTCTCTGAACTTTTCTATCTGAGCCTAAAGCGAGAAACTGCGACTGATACAATCCTTGATTAATTTGGTGGCAGTTTTAATGTACGATGATATTCGGATCTCAATTACAATATAATAACAACGATATTTATATATAATAACAAATATATTTTTGCTAGACAACGAGTACCAAAATAATAATTTGATTTAATCATTTCGAATAATAATTTCAGATGAAATTGTTACATTGTATTAACCCGTTATATTAATTTGATTAAGGATGAAGTTGTCAATAGACTGAGAATGTTTATGCGAATTCCTATTTTTGTAGATAATCGAGATAAAGAAATTTGTTTCGTCAACTGAAAGACTCCTTGGAGAAAATTAATGTAAAGATGTCATTTTAATATCTATTAACATAAATGTTTTCTTGTAGTTTACAGATTTGCAAATGCCTCGAATGTATAAGAAGCCGCATGCACAGCAGTTTGTTAGCATAGATTATTTAATGAAAATCAAGATAATAGAGACAATCGGCTAGAAGATTCCTAATGCGAAAATAACGTATAAATGTCATTGATCATAATTAATATACGTGTTTGCTTGTAATTTATATCTCAGCACGCGAAGCTGCAGCCTAGTAATGTGTTAACAATAGAAAGTGTGAGCCGTGGATTTCTATTCGAATTCTCATCTTCATTTACGAATGTCAAGATAAGGAAGACAATCGACCGAAAGATTGCTTACGGGAAAAAAAGATAGAAATGTCGTGAATCGTTAATACGAATGTCTTCTGACACTTTTGATTTTAACTCTGCAGTAAACCTTGAATGTAAATTCACCTACAAACAGAATGATCTCCTCAGTTTTCCGGGTCTTCGGAACGTATTAGCTTGTCTGAAGTACTCAAAAAGATTCTCAATTGTTATTAAATTGGGCTGTACGCGCATGAAAGATGAGAGCTAAGAATATGACGCTCGAGAGAAAATGTCAGTAATTAACATCACGTGATGCGCAATTTTTGGTTCACCTTATATAATCGTTTCACTAAATGGAATAGTGAAACGTGTTTTCTGATCGTCGAAAATGAGGCCGTCTATAAAAAGTACGCATAAACAAAGGCGTTATTCACTGAGCATAAAGAAGCCCGCTTAAAATGAAGAACGAGTGCATTGCTGTATCATCAAACACTTTACTAATCTCGATTATCACCTCTTTGTAAAAATCGATTTGCGACAAAATAGCATCTTGTGACATTAAAATACAAGATTTCACTTGTGTAGATATTTCCCAGGCTCTGCATAAATCGGTTATATTTCTTATATTTTTATTATCGGTCTACGATCGGTTTTGCTAGCAAATGTTGAGTAGTGAATCATCGTTTTCACAGATCTGACACAGTAAAATCGTTCTTGATGCTCGAGCATTCCAAGCAATCGCTAAGGTAATCTTCGTGCGATCCTCATTCGATCGGCACTTGGCTTTTTAATCGCTTCTTTAACAGAATACGATGGACTTTTATCGAACTTGGCATCGCGCTTGTTTCAGTCAGTCCGTAGATCTCTTTTTACGTTGCCACGTATCTTGTTCAGCGATTCTCACATCTATGAGAAACTTTAATCTCATTAATGCTTCGTATTTCCAATTTATTAGATCCTTCGGACTCGCGTCCGCAGCAAAATAAAGCAATCATTGTCCGTTCGTTACAAAACATCGTATCTGTTTCTCTTCGAACAATGTTCTTTATGATTTCATATCTTAAATAACATTTTCGCTATTGAGTTCGTTTTTGGAAAATCTTCGAGATATCGCATCCTTTGTTTAAACCGTCCCACGTTTAAATCGTCAATTTGTCTTTTCTTAATTTCGTCCTCGTCTCAAAGTATTCCAAAATGTCTGGAAGTTTACGATTTCGCGAAAATGTTAACTTAACTATCAAATACCAATTATAGTAAATTCTCCCTAATCGACGCTCAAATTGTGCAGAAAAATGGACAATTTGCCTTGCGGCTCGTTTTTATAATTACCGATTGTCAACAACTATTAAAACGAGCCGCAAGGCTCGAATAATCGTATCGCCTCTTTCCAAATTGTTCAATTTTGTGCACAATCTGAGCATCAATTAGGAAGAATTTGCTGTACTGTTTCCGGATGGCACAAGTAAAGAATAAAAATCTTGCTTTCATCGATTTTGTCATTACAGTATACTGTGATTTCTAAGATGAAGAGAAATGTATAGTAATCTTTAGGGGATGTTCCCATTCCGAAGAAACAAAATTGATACATTGCCTGACATTTTCTGTCCGTATCTCCGATGAATCTGCAAGGTTTCAAAATATTTGGAGATTCTTACAGATTCGGAACGGACCGACGAAAAATATATTGTCGTATCAGATCAGTAACGCGAAACCTGTTTTTCTACGGACAGACGATTGTTTCTTTTGCCGAGGGTTTATGGTTGGGTCAAAGCTCAACAGAGTATTCTCGTAAACCATGCGCGCTTCTGCACGGGAATTGCTTACTGGGGCATTAAGAACGGTTGATTGCGAAGAGGACACGGTCCTTTGGGACATAATGAGTGTTTATTGTGGCCGAATTAAGCGGTTTTCCGCGAATGCTTTCATTTTTAGTAAGAAATAAATACTCCATCTCCGCGCGCGCGACACATTTTAACATTAAAAGCATTGACCGATGTTCTACCATCTAATTAACCTTTTAGGCACGACGCGCCACTATAGTGGCTTGCTCTAGTAGCTCACTCGCTCATCGTTTGAACCAAATAATCGTCTTCATATGCATTGTTTCACACTTCTTTTGTCTTCGCATCGATTTACAACAGTCTGCAGGGTGTCCCAAAAATGTCTCGCAATCCGGAAATGGCGGGTTCCTCGGATCATTTGAAGCAACTTCTTCCTTTACAAAAATGTTCTCGGAGGCACCGTTAACGAGTTATTAACGAAAAACAGTGACCAATAAGAATCGAGTACGGCTGACGCGAGGCGGCCCAGCCAACCAGCGCGCGAAGCCCAGTTCCGCTCATTGGCTCGGTCGCCTCGCGCCAGCCGAGCTCGCCTCTCATTGGTCACTGTTTTTCGTTAATAACTCGTTAACGGTGCCTCGGAGAACAGTTTTGTAAAGGAAAAAGTTGCTTCAAATGGCCTGAGGAACCCGCCACTTTCGGATTGCGAGACATTTTTGGAACACCCTGTATATACAGTATCAGACTCTGTACAGTGCATATCAGACTCTGAGGTCCAGAGAAATAGCCTCGCGCAGAATTCAGCCGTTCCTAAAAGGTTAACTTTAATTGTAATGGACGCATATTCGAAATGATCGATACTAGTTTAAAAAAGAAAATCGTACTCTCAATACGAGTATTCACCGATACTTTTAATGCCTTACCAATCTTAAATGTCACCTCCATCATTATAATTATAAATGCATAAAATCCACAGAGTCTACTCACCACTGCGATAAACTTATCCATTTAGAAATCCGTTCCATTTTGTCGGAGATTCAAGCAGACGACGTTGTTACTCGCGACGAGATAACGTCCCGAACGGCCATAAAGTAACGCGTAATCTCCTATTATTACAGTTTGACAATCCTTGGGGAGTGACAATTATCTCTTCCCAGCAAGGAAAAATGACTCGATACCCGACCGAGAGGTGATTAACCTAGCATTTAAAAAGACATGCATGGCTTATGCTCGTTGCACTATCGGCGTAACATTGACACACTTAACTACGATTCTCCTGTCAGGTGTTTATCAGCTCGACATGCAACAAAGGAGTTCGTGGACTCTCCTTGAGGCACGTTATTGTTCCAAAGATGGTTTAATAACAGAACTCGGCCAAAGATAGCGTACGAAAACGTTCGCAACGCATCATGGCCAGTGAACTGTAATTTCCTAGCTTCTTCATCTGCACGATCGGTTGATTTTCCACGAAAGGATCACGCGATAAAAACATAGAGCGAGCATTAGATCGTTTAGCATTGTATCGATGAATAATTCATCAGAACAATTTCGAATTGCACGCTCCTTTCAAAATTAATATATTTTGTACGATGAATTTCCCTTATTGCGTTAATTTAATGATAGATGAGCGACGACATCTACGATTAAATTAAAAGGCAATCGTAGTACGATCACGGACTTATATAAAATTCTAATATAAAGTTCTAAATAATTCTTTCTTATAAAAAAATCTTTAAAAATGCAGTTCGAATTTCGTCAGTATCTCTACTCGTTGCTGAAAAGCAAGATACATAATTCTACCAGAAAATTGAATAAAAGCTGTAGAATAATTTTCGATTGCAAATTGTAAATTTATCGCGAGAAAATCAACATCCATTCTCGGAAATAAAATTTCACAATTTTTCTACAACGAGCTTCGGCTTCCCTTCAATTCAGAAAAAAAGCACGTTCTCGTAATGCACAGATGTGAATACGTGTGATCTGTTGCCGACTGCATAATCATAGTAATTTCAACGTCTGCACGCAGCATTCTGTGTCCCGGCATGGTTGCTGTTCTAATTATCGACACTGGTATTTAACGTTTGCCCGGCCACGCGTTCCGAAGTCTTGCTCCCGTTCCTGAAAATCAGATTTGGTTCAAGCTTCGGAGTACATATCTCGCCGGCGAATCGACTCGGCTTCCAGACCATTGGAAGTTATGGTCGCGAAGTGTAGATATCCGGGTCAAACATAACACGCATAACACCGCGCATACCACGCCTGCGAAACGGAAGGCAAGTGGCATTGAGCTGAATTGAAAGGGACCGATCGGAGGGGAACAGTCGCTAAAAGTAAAGCACGCGTGAACATTTTTGACCCCCCTCGGCCTCTTCTGCGCCGACGATGAGTTTGCTTCGTCGCTAACAGCTCCTAAGTTTGATTCGAAACAGAATGTCGCAGCGATCTGTCTGTTGAACTCGTGAAAATGAAGAAAAAAAATGTGCAGAAAATAAATTGGAGAGATTAGATAATTCGTCTCTCAGCTGCGAAAAATTGAGTCTTTATTACTTTAAGCAATTATAGCACATATGAGGATTGTATGAATTTATTTACACGCATACAAGTGATACATCTGCCCAGATACTTACATAGATACACTTGGTGACTTTAACCCTTTGCACTCGAGTGACGAGTCGGAGGTGCCAGTAAAAATTGTTATACCATTTTTCGAAATAATTGTAACAGTGTCAGATCTGTTATACTTAAAAGAAACTGTTAAAACTGCAAGTATTGTACTTTCCAATAGGCTCAATTTCATATGCATAAAGTGCATTGAATCATATAAAATGGAAATACTGTAGATCAGAAAACATCTTCTGGATTTCGAATTAAAATAGCTTCGACTGCAGAAGATTAAAAGCACATTAATGTTTATGTATACATATATTTGTACAAGATATTTTTCAACAAAAAATTAATACACGTTTTATGAATACGAGGTATACTACCCTAAAAATATCGGAAAGAATCGCTCCTCTTAAACAACAATCGCCAAAGTCGCCTTGTTTTTAGTGGCCTGAAACGATTCTCTTCCTTAACATCATTTTTACCAAAGGAATCGGAAAACACCCTAAATCTTAATTTGGAATTATTTTCTAAATTTAATTCTGGTAAAGTTTAAGTTGAACTTTCCTTCGATTGACTTTAAAATTTTTCCCTTAATGATTAGAAAATTAATTTGATTAAGATAAATATTTATATGCATTTCTTTCCGTTCACGCTGTAAAATGTGACGTTACAAATATTTACATATTTACAAAATATTTACAAACACTTACATATTTTATCAACTTGAAATAGGAAACAAAGGAAAACACGGTCTTAGATTCTCACGTGTATTTTCGAGGACTCGCGGAACTCGTGGACAGTTAAATAAAAAAAGTAAGACCAGTCGCATTGATAAAACAGACGTTGCTTAATCACATGGCCTCGATCTAGAATAAATCCCCCAAGGAAGTGGACATGTTCCGTCTGAAGTTCCCGCTATCAAAGTCATTCAATTAACGTTAGATACATTCCCAGCGTCCCCTAAAGCTCGAAACAATCAGCAACGCTGCGCAACGTTTTTTCATAGTCTTCTACGACTTTGACCTTTAATTAAAATTCCCTTTGCTGCGAACTATGCACGAGACACATTTTCTTCCGTCGCAAAATAAAAACACATCGAATAAACTGCGACCAACACACGAATGTTCGCCGTGAACCGTCATCAAAATTTTGTCGTGCCTCGCGAATTAAGTTTTCATTTCTTCGCTCTAATAAAGGCTTTTTATTACCGGTTTCCGGTGCAACCTGAAGTCTCTTCTTACGGCGGGCAGGATATGTCTGCAATGCAACATCACGTCGATTATAGTAATATTAACACTGAATATTCGTCGTCGATACGATTGCATACTACTGCATTTTTATATATCCATAAATTCTTCGCACTTTCATTTTCCCTTCTACGCGATCCGTTCCGTGACTCCATTAGGAAATAGATTTACACGCAGTCAGCATCGATCAAATATCTTGTTTATCATTGACAAGTGGAGCAAAATGGCGAATGACAACGTGGTTTGGTTTCGAGAACCAAAGATTATAGCGAGCAAACGATGTTTCGAAAATTCATCGAATTTTTTTGATGCGACAACGTCTGTAACTTTTTCACATCGTCACGTGGTACAGTTAGATCTTTTTTAAGATCTTCGATTTTCAAGGTATTTATAATTGGAAAGCCTCCAAAAAGATCGATGCGTTAAAGCATCAAAATAAAGTTACAATTGAATATAAATAAAAATAAAATGTACATATTTTTAAACACGAGAACAATTAAGCCACTACAGGATGTCCCAAAATTATGGTACTTCCGAGAAATGAGGGGTTCCTGAGATCATTTGAGGTCATTTTTTCCTTAGCGAAAATGCAATCCGCGGTTTCGTTTAGGAGAATATTTTATCACGACAATATTCTGTTGTTAATTTTGTTATTAGTTAAAGTGATAGAACAAAATAGAAAATTTTCGTTTCTAACTTTTTTATCCGAGCTTATAACGAAAATTTAGAAAATGCGTTTTGAGAGAGATTTTTTTTTCTTTCGTCATCCTGAGCAATAGCAAAATTAAAAAAAAAACAAGCGTTCTCGTCATGGTCTAACGGACCATGCATCTCCAGCATTTCCAGCATCTACAAAAAATTCAAATCNCATAGTCTTCTACGACTTTGACCTTTAATTAAAATTCCCTTTGCTGCGAACTATGCACGAGACACATTTTCTTCCGTCGCAAAATAAAAACACATCGAATAAACTGCGACCAACACACGAATGTTCGCCGTGAACCGTCATCAAAATTTTGTCGTGCCTCGCGAATTAAGTTTTCATTTCTTCGCTCTAATAAAGGCTTTTTATTACCGGTTTCCGGTGCAACCTGAAGTCTCTTCTTACGGCGGGCAGGATATGTCTGCAATGCAACATCACGTCGATTATAGTAATATTAACACTGAATATTCGTCGTCGATACGATTGCATACTACTGCATTTTTATATATCCATAAATTCTTCGCACTTTCATTTTCCCTTCTACGCGATCCGTTCCGTGACTCCATTAGGAAATAGATTTACACGCAGTCAGCATCGATCAAATATCTTGTTTATCATTGACAAGTGGAGCAAAATGGCGAATGACAACGTGGTTTGGTTTCGAGAACCAAAGATTATAGCGAGCAAACGATGTTTCGAAAATTCATCGAATTTTTTTGATGCGACAACGTCTGTAACTTTTTCACATCGTCACGTGGTACAGTTAGATCTTTTTTAAGATCTTCGATTTTCAAGGTATTTATAATTGGAAAGCCTCCAAAAAGATCGATGCGTTAAAGCATCAAAATAAAGTTACAATTGAATATAAATAAAAATAAAATGTACATATTTTTAAACACGAGAACAATTAAGCCACTACAGGATGTCCCAAAATTATGGTACTTCCGAGAAATGAGGGGTTCCTGAGATCATTTGAGGTCATTTTTTCCTTAGCGAAAATGCAATCCGCGGTTTCGTTTAGGAGAATATTTTATCACGACAATATTCTGTTGTTAATTTTGTTATTAGTTAAAGTGATAGAACAAAATAGAAAATTTTCGTTTCTAACTTTTTTATCCGAGCTTATAACGAAAATTTAGAAAATGCGTTTTGAGAGAGATTTTTTTTTCTTTCGTCATCCTGAGCAATAGCAAAATTAAAAAAAAAAACAAGCGTTCTCGTCATGGTCTAACGGACCATGCATCTCCAGCATTTCCAGCATCTACAAAAAATTCAAATCGTTCACAGTGCAGTTATAAAAAAGTTACAGCATCTTAAAAGCTGTTTCCCCGGATTTCGCTGTTTTTACATATTTAAATGTTTCGCCGGATTTAGCTGTTTTTACGGATTTAGCTTCTTTCCCGTATTTAGCTATTTTTATGAATTCAGCTGTATTTACGAATTTACCTATTTTTACGGATTTAGCTGTTTAGCGACTATCAAAATCGCGATGTCCCGAGAATCGGCAATGGCGCGAACCAACTGCGACGCTAAAGGGGTTTCGGCGCAGCGAGACCCGCGTAACACGGTCGAACAAACGTTCCATCGTCGAATCGAACAGAGATCGAATTGTTAAGACGATTTCACGCACGGGATCTCATGGATCGCGCCGGTTGACAGGCTGGTGCTTGCTGGAACAAAAGCCCTCGGACTCCACCGGCGTTTGTTCCACTCGCGTGCGCTTAAGATTCGCAGGAATCGAGGAATGAGGATGCAGTACGCACTCTCCCTGTTATCGACCATATCGAGTGAGGAGAATGGAGCCAAGGGAGAGCGAGCCACGGCGAGGATCACCGAGTTCAGCCGAAGGGAACCTCGCTCTCGCTGTTGTGCTTTCGTTCGGAGGCACCAGGAACGATCGCCCGCAACCCTTTGCTACCCCTCCGACGCGTCTCGATCGTTTCTGAATTCGACGATCGACAACGAGATGGTCTGATCTCGCGACGGCCAGTGGGGTCTTTTCATAACGAATTCTCCGAAGCATCGTGAAACGAAGTTCGAGCAAGAAGAATCCGGATAGAGCGTTCGTACGGATACACTTGTTTTCATTTTCGTCTCGTCGCGTACCCGGGCCGTGGAAGTTGTCCGTTCGCTCGTGTGTCTAGTCGAGGCTCGAATTGCTGGTGCGACGTGCACGCGAAGAAAGATCGCCTCCAGGTTCTTCGCAGGCAACTTTCCTCCAGGCTGTTTATATCCGTTCGCTTGCTCCTGCGGTTCCCTGTTAAACCTGCTTATCGATCACTGTTCGGTACGCACAGCAGAGACAAGTGTTATAAATACGTTGCGAATAATGGTAAAGGTGATGTGCGGACGCGTTGATCGTGCCTTCCGTACGTGAACCAGTCGAATGTTTCGGAATCGTCGCCGCGGTTAGCTCGCGGCTACCCTCGCAGCGGCAACGGCCACTGACAGTTCGGAAAAGCTCGTGTGTTTATACATGTGTTCTATGATACAGTGTTCCGTAATAAATATCGTCCGTCGATCGTAAACCCGATGCCATAGTAATCGCACGTCGAGGATGGTCCCGATTGTCCAGCTGCTGTCTCGTTGTCGTGGAAACCACCATGTTGTGTCCTCGTCCATTGTGCGGCTCGGCTATCAGAAAGTAAGCTTGATCTTATTTTCGAGATGCTTGCTCGGATCGGTGATTCATTGTATCATACATTTTTCTGTAATTTCCGTCGTCCTGTGGTCAGAACATCCTTAACACGTTGCGTTAACACGATTTCGGGTGCACGTTTGAAAATCAATTTTAGCTACGATATAATCGTGTACGTAGAATTTTATTAAATTCTGGAGGAACTAACTGGGTTGCCGGAGTAATCGCTGCGGTCGAAGTTGATATTTTAGGTATAATTGTATGAATCGGTGGGATTCTCTGAAAATTTGGGGGATTTTTGTTCGGCAGTCGCCGCGCGTTTATGGTTCTTTTCCGTTGCTGAAACTACCGCCAGTGAACTGTGACAACCCCTTAATACGCGACGAAGGTCGCAGGTTTCGAAACTAATACATACTTTGCAGATGAACTGGTCTGAAATCTGGAAAGCATATTTTTTATACGAAATAACAAATTGACCAGTTTGAATATTAGTGTAAGTGACTTCTATTAGAGAAACGTAAATCCTACAATTGCAGGTCCTACAATTGTTGCTAAAAATTGTTTTAGTTTCTTGTAGTTCGCAGAGATATCTAGAAAAAATTTCAAGTAGCAAAACGGTACAGTATGTAAAATGACTAGCACGATAAGATAGTAGGTGTATTATGCAAATTAAAATAACAAAATGAGTAATGGAAAAAGCAAATAAGTGTAAGAGGATGAAATATTACAAGTATACTTATGGAAGTTAATTAATTCCGTGTAGCACAGACATTCCTGAGCGTTTTGTATAAAAAAGGAAGGTAAAAAAAATCAATATTATTATACACGGCGGTGGTCAAAAGGTTTGAAAAGTATTCATAGCAGAGAAAGGAAGAATAAGTTAACGGAGAGAGAAGAAGCGTTTTGCAGTGACAATCAGTTTCATAGAGATGAACGTATTACGATAAAAACAGAAGAGTGCAATAAACGAAATTAATATTTATACAGTAAAAATGGAAACACAAAGTAAAATGATCCCCATAAATATGAAAAAAATGCTGACCAACAAATTTGTTATGTTCTACTTTGTCTCGGGTTCAGAAAGAATCGTCTTAAAATTGTCTCTACGCCTTTATTGAACACCCAGCACTGTATTTGATTTGTTAATGTAATCATCGATTTCCTAGCTGTAATCTAGAACGGCTAATAGCATCAGACTTCATCACATTTATATAATTTTGTACCAATTGCAACCTGAAGCAATTATGCTGTTATTGCATTGGATAGTCAATCTATTGATCCTATTTGTATGGTGTATTCTAATAGGAACATAATCCCGGGAGCTTCGTGTGCTTTACTATACTCCCTTATAGGCGATCTGTCAAAAAATAACCACTCAATGCGTAATTATGTTTCATTGATACACTCGCATAGAAATTGTATGACTATTAAATATATTTTTGAGGCCACTCATTTACCAAATCGATTAAGTCCATAAAGCAAAGAATAGAAAAAAGTCAGAATAGTATACGTTTGCTTTTGAAATATAAAGTTAAATAAACATTATAGAAGATTTTATTACAGACTCAGATTCGATCAATAGTATTATATAACATTACTACACTAATAAATAGTATTTTAATAAATTGTCTAATACATAATTGTCTGTGCATGTATAATAATAAATTGTCTATTATTCCACAGCCAACAAAATTTGTATCATTTCGTGGTATTAAGCCCAGCATGAAGGAAAATTATTTGAGGTATAAAAAGCCTAAGAGACAATCATGTGGTTGGGCAGCCATATTTTAAAAAATTGTTAAAATAGAGTTAGTCGATTTGGCCTGTGAACAGTTGATTTATGGAATATTAAATTTGCACATTTTTTTAGCGGATTTGCAAGAGTCGTCAACTACTGTCAACTAATTACAAGTTTCAAAAAATAATGGAATGTGAAGTTCAACAAAATCTCGTACAGTTTCAGTAATTTTTATTTCTCAAAAGAGTCCTACTTAAGAGTACGTATAAAAGGAGGAATTTTTTTGACAGAAATATCCGCAGGCTAATTATCGCGAATAGTAAATCAAATCTAAAATTGCTCGACATTAAAGCGTTATTTAAAGTGAAGAGTATTCTACGCTAGGATGATACGAATATCGAATATCTGCAAAGCGTTCCAAAGATAAACGATCAATATTTACACTATAAACACAAACGTACACATGAAACGCTTTATTGAGAAGTTATAATAAAAGCATTGAACGCGACAACCACAGTGTCATATCCTGTATTATAGTGACATTTCCATAGCGACACGAGTTAGAGTATACAATTACCAGACTTCAGAAATATATACGATCTACAAAAATCTTCAAAAAATTTTAAAGCAGAGAATTCAATAATAAATTTAAATGCATCTTCATTCTAGTCCAATGTGCTGCAAATAACAAAAGATGTCATATAGCTTTGAATGCTCTAAACACCATAGAAAAATCTGTACAAAGTGCACCGGATTTATCCATAATAAACGCGTATAAACTTTCATTAAAAGTAAATTGTAGATTGTAAGAATAAATGCAGAATATAGAACAAAAAGTGGTTTCACGCGAGACTTCATTTGCAGAGAAATTGAATACGAGTGTTTGTCGAAACGCGTGACACTTAAAAGGGATCGGCTAACAAGTCTGTTTGTTCATCGTGTGCAGTTTCAACTTAAAGTAAACATAAACGCACGTGTAGCATGCATGTTCACGAAGACGACTTTTCCGAGAACAGAATTGTGGAGAAGACAAATTCTATATTCACAATCACACAGCTTCGTTTCTGCATAACGAATCGCATCCTCGTGCAACAATACTTCTGATTCCTTAGCCGTTAATAGACAGCGTATCTCGTTGCAATTATTGCAACTGCGGATCGGCAGAATACAAGAAACATTTCATATTAACGCGTACATACTATATTTCCATTCGTGATGTTTCTTCTTCGTGTGTAGCGAAAGGAATTTTTCAGTCCTCGACAATCAGTTGTTCCTGCATTCTGTTCCTCATAAAATAATGTAGAAAAATAAATGTCTGATAGACTAACAGTTTAACAGTCTGACAAAATGTGTTCAGTATTAAACGGTGAAGAGATAAAAATGTTGATGTATTAATTTATACTTGTTAAAATTATTAAAGAAGGAAGAAACTTGCGCTTGGCTCCTGTTTCTTGATACAAATTGTTTTTATTTTGCACAGAGATTCCGTAAGTAATTGCAGGTCAAGAATCAAAATTTTCTGCAGCGAACATCAGTCAAATAGCTTGAATATTTGTATCGTGAATAGTAGCGCGAAGTCCGCAATTAATTTTGCTTCTGCACAATTCGCAAAAGAGAAACACCTAAACGGTGGGCATTTACGTGTACGCGATAAAAATGTCGTACAAAAGTTGAACGAGGGAGAAACTGTAATACGAGCGTTTTTTCTGAAAAGAGCGTTTATCGAGGTAGCGAACTTCCACCAAACTGCTTGGTTAATTAGTCCTTGAAAACGCGAATTTGCATAGAGGTCAGCAGTCCAGAAATACCATTTATTCGGCGGCGTATGAATAAATAATGGAATCGTCTCTGGTGACCCAGGTCTGCTGCTATCCGAGGGTTGATGAAATATTCTTTGCTTCGGTTTCGCCTCGTAGCATCCGGTACATCGGGAGAGAATGTTTGCTGGAAGAGTGTTGAAATAAAATCGTTTCGGAATTACGCAACGATATGTTAATGCTTGTTAATGAGCTGTAACGCCGCGGCACCGATAGCACTCGCTACATTTTAACCCGTTCGAAGACGGAAGCTGCAACGGATCGGCAGTGCCGCTGACCAAAGTCAGTTCGACGGATTTGCATTGATCTGCATTTTCGATATGACAGCCTGTCGATTGTCGCGCTATCACGATTGGTCGAAAACCATTCCGCGGGGCTGATATCAAGGCCGTCGCCGCGGCGCAGCGCGCTCATTATGTTAACAGTTGTTCCGCCGTAAGTTCTCGTTCAAGGTTCCACAAATGACTTACCGTATTTCTATCTCCTTTTTTTTCCCCTATTCGCCGCATAATTGGAGGCGCGTCTATACTCCGGGAATCGTTGGCTAAATTATGCAAGACTCCCACAGAGTATCGGCACCACGGGATCGGCTTACCGTTTCGTAGCGGACACCTGCAACTGCCGTTCCACAAAGCTGTTCCGAACAGAATCGAACTGAATCGGTCGGCCTACCAGGAATCGTTTTCGCGGCGAACGATTCTTCTGGGTTTATGCAAGTTTCTCGATCGCGTCCGCGGTTTCGTCGAGTCATGCTCATCACCTTTTTTTCTCCACTGAGTATTTCTTGTTGAGACGTTGCGCCGCAGACGAGAAGAACTGTATCAGAGTTGCAGCGTTAATTAGCTATCGTGAAATTGCTTTGAACGTTTTGCGATATTATACTTTAATATTATTATATAATAATAATATAATAATATATATATACTAAATAATATAAGACTAAAATCAAAATGATACGAATCACTCTTTCAGCATCAATTTCTTGATTTTATACTTGGTATAAAATGAGCTAATAATAATATTATATATAATAATTAATAAATATATATATATTATATTATTATATATGTACAGCTAAATAAATGATTTGGCATTCCAGGTGTCATCGAAACCAATAAATGGAGAACTGAAAAGTCGAAGGGTATGAGAATCGCAACGATGGTAACTGCATACTTCCTCGACGATGATTCTGTCCAGAATCAGAGAAACGCCGGAACGACTATAAGGGAGACGATTCAGTAAAAGAAAGAGAAAGAAGAGAAACAGAGGAAATCGAATCATGGGTTCCTTGCCAAATCTTCACGAGTTGTCTAAGGAAAAACTAGAGAGTCCTGCTTACAGGCCAGCACCGATTGGTGGTTTAGGACCTATACGACTGCCAGCTCAACCTCCACCATTAGCACATACACATAGACGCGCCAGAAGTAATGGTCATCACCATAATCTGTGGGATAATGATGCCATGCTGGAGGTAGTATATATCTTTTTACAAATCTACCCTAACCGTCATACTGTTTTCTTACGTCCTTTCATAAAAACGCTACCGATAGGATCTTTTTACAATGATGTTAGCTAAATGTCATTAAAATGTCATTAATCTAAAAGGAACTCAATTTTTCGAGTTTAATGGACTGTAGTGAATATTTGTTACAGCTACAAATGATTCTCGCCAATATAATTTATGAATTTTTATTTATCTAGAATTAGATCAGCAAAGCTTTTGGCATTTTTTATTTAGAGTTTATCATGAACTCAATATAACAATTATTATTGAGAAGATCATCGTTAAGTATGATTAAATGACAGCAACTTATTATTATATTCATTTGAAATATCTCTAGAAAATCGAATATCTTTTCTCCGAATGATTGATTTTTTAAATTGATATCGAAATTCTTTTCACTTTTATAATTAGTAAAACCACTAGAAATCACTGGCAACGTACGTGTAATATTATTTTTCGCATATTTGATATAATAGTTATAAATCTTCTAATATTAAATATCGGAACAAATGATTCGTGTCGCTTTTCCTATAAGAAGCAATGTAAAATCTGGCACGATTTACTGCTCTTTTCAAATGTCCGAATAACACCAATTCATTCAGTGGCAAAACACTCAAACCATCCGTCAAAATTGTCTACAGATGATAATTCTTAAAGTTCCAATTCTGACACAGGTGGCGTCACTTTGTAAAATCTATAAAATTTTTAATTTAACGCCATCACAAGTAGTGGCGGAACGCTGAAGCTAGTCGATAAAATTATCAACAGTTGATTTTGACTAGCAGTTTGATTGTTTTGCTACTACGTACAATGACGCTATTGGGATTTTGAAGAGAGCAATAAATTCGTACCGGATGTTACATTGCCTCCTATAGGAAAAACGGCATGAATCATCTGCTGTATATATTTGCAATAACATATAAACTTTTTTTGTATGATATAGACGCAGAAAAATCTCCTCAACATTTCTGTATCCTCAAAACATTTGTTTAGTCCCTCAATTACCATATTTAGATCAAAATCATTAGAAAAAAAGAATGGGGGTATCATTCAATTACTCGACACAGTTTCGGTTAATTATCAATTCGATTGATACTGCATGAATAAAATACTGATTTGCAGCACATGGCAGCTTACTCTCCCATCTCTTGTCGCTCCACAAGGACATCTGCTTTGTCATGGCGTCGACGGGACTCGATGAACTCCTCTGCAGGAGCATCATCAGTACGACGTCTAATTGCTGCTGTAAGAGCGGCTCCTTCTGGTCCCCGACCGCCGAAAAAAGCGATACTAAGGCATTGCGCGGCTCTTCTCTTAGGGCATGCAAGCTGTTCAGCCGCCACGTTGCCCATGTTCCCGTTGCAAGCTGGCCTTGGTACATTCAACCCTCATTTGGGACCGATGCTCTTAGCTCTCCTCTATGCGACTGCTACCATCACCAGCTGTTTTGCGCCGATACTCATGCAAAGACTCGGGACAAACCTCGCGATAAGTTCCAGCCACGTTGCTACCACTGTCTTTGTTGGAGCACATCTTTATCCAAAGTGGTAGGTACTTTGAAAACCGAGTCAAATTATAGGGTGACATCTTATTCTAATATTTCAAAAAAAAGCATTTATTTCAAATTCTGGAGATACAGAATAAATGCTTCTTTAAAGGGGACTCCTCCTTTTAATGGTAACTTGAGGATATCTTTTCTTCAAAATTCCAAACGTTAAATTTTATGAAAAGTAATTAGCATAGGAAATTAATGTTCTGTGAAGGGACCTTCCTTAAATTTTTATTAAAAGTATCTAATCTTTTTGAACGTTATCGGATAACTTCGTTAGGATATTTTGCTTGGAATGGTGTATACTCCTCAGATGAATCATCGACAACATCTGGTGCAAAGATAAAATTTATGAATGGAGTCACTCGACTTATTAATTGTAGTTTATACTTAATGTTTATGATTTTGTGTAACAGGTATGTGCTATTACCCAGTTATGCGGTACTGGGTGCTTGTATAACACCGAGTTTCATAGCACGAGTTTCTCATGTTAACTCATCAGCAAGTAGTTTAGCTCTGGTATCTGCTGATCCTGAAGATCCTGATGAAACGAGACGGGAGTGCCTTCTGAGACGACTTAATAGAGGAATTAAATTAGCAGAAGACATAGGTCTCGCACTGGGTATGAAACAGTTGAAACAATTTCCGCTTTTATTAATTTCATTCATTTACAGTTCAATTTAAATTTTAGTAATCTACTCTAGTTTTTCATTTTAGCAAACAACTAACTAACATTTTAACTAACATGTTATTGTTTATCTCTAGTTTATGAAACAAGTAGAATTTTATTTAAAATTTAAATATTATATATTTATTCCAGGTTGTTTAATCGCTGCCATACTCGTAAAACTGACAGATTCAGTCCCACTGGATGCACTGAGCAATGAAACAAATGATGTCTGCGGAGCAGAGTATTGTCCAGAAGAGATTTATTTTGAAAATGGCACAAATAGTATACCAGTATTACCAATTGGAACATCCAGAATACTGATCAGCATATGGCTTGGTCTTGCGGTCCTAGGATTAAGTATATCCTGCGCTTTTCTTGATTCCAGAATGAAGGAACCACAGAATGTGAATGAGAAGCATAGTGCTCAAAACATCCTTTCATCCGTGAAGTCTGCATTCCAAGATCCTAAATTGCAGTTGGCTGCACCACTGACACTTTTTATAGGACTTGAGCAAGGATTCATCTATGCCGACTTCATAGAAGTAAATATTACATAAATTTTTTACAATTCCTTGATCTTCTAGTACTTCTACATATATCTTGGGATTACTCTTTCTATTATATTCTACAATATAGTAAGTACTTAATTATTCATATTGTAGGCATATGTTGTTTGTGCTTTGGGAGGAGCTGGCACAGTAACTCTAAGTTTTTTAAGTTTGGCATCTTTACAAGCTCTAGCAGGTGTAACATTATCAATGTTGTTAAGGCACATTAAAAGATACTTTGTTGTAGGTATGTATCAGTTATCACAACTTTCTAGTTTCAATATACCAAACTTCCAAGTTTAATACTTGCTATATTCCTTTTGCAAGTTGTTGGATTTGTATTCCATGCCTGTTTATTGCTTGTTTTGATGACATGGAGACCATCTGGTGATGATCCAGCTCTCTTTCATGTTATATCTGCTGCTTGGGGAGTTTGTAATTCTATTTGGGAAACCTTGATATATAGTAAGTATATTAATATTAAATTAAGTCACATTTATATGGCTATGAATACTTTATGAATTATTGATATCTTTTATCCACAGTTGTTATTAATAAAGTTATTAATAAAAGATTACTAATTTTCCAGCATTAGTGTTGGGTTTATATCCAAATTCTTGGCAAGGACCATTGTCAACATCTCTTTTTTGGAGATGGCTCGGTCTTGCTCTGACACTTGGATTACATGGACTAGTCTGCACGCAATATAGAGTACTCGGCCTTGCTTGTGTATTACTTCTCTCTGTGGTTCCTTACATATGGCTAGAAATTAGACTAGCCAAGAGAGGTAAAAGTTTAGCACCATTGTGACTGGGAGATTCGATTGCAAGTGATCATGGTTCAAGCACTAAAACAGAAGCACGCTACAGAGATTGAGACAAACTCGTTCTATTCAACTTAAGAATGGCGAAGAGACATAGTAGAACTAGAAAACTTATTGCGCAACACAGTACAAACATCACAAAAAGGGGCACACGACGGAGAGCTCACAGTGTTGCCTTCGCAAATAACATTGAACAATGTATAGCAAAAGACGTTCTGTCACAATGTTCTCCGGTAACAACTGATAAACAGCAAAAAAGTCCAAAACCTAGTGACAGTGATGTTCTTCCTGTCTCTTCAAGCTGAATTCATAAACTTTTTGTATCTCCCACTTATAAGTAGACTGGGAAACAATAAGGTCAGTTTTGAATTAATGAGTCAACTCAGTTGCATCATTATTTCATTGTTAATTTATAGAGGAGTGTGCACTCAAAAAGAGAAGGGCAGGAATGCCTTATTTTTCCTCTTCTACTTGATGGTCAAAATTAATTTTCTTTAAGACATGCTTAATAATTTAACTTTTAAATGACCTAATCCTTTGACACATAAAATCAAACGAATATTTGATCCATTAGTATCAGCTACTTAATAAAATTAAATTCGTTACAAATAACTAAATGCTGTACAATACACATGCTGTTCTTTAGTTAAAGTTTGTATAAACTGAGAAACTTGAACTGCAGTTTACCCAGTCTACTTGTTAAATGCGTTTTTGTTTTAAACAGGTCTTTCTTCAAGTTGAATGGAACGGGCGTATGAGTGATTAAAGAAAACTTCATGCAGCAAATAATAACATGCTCTTACGAGCTAGCTGTTGTTCCGAACAAGTACCATCGATGTAATACCTTGATGTCGTACAAGACTGAACGATAGCAGAAAACTATAAATACACACATATGTTGTTAACGATCGAACATACCAATCATAGTAGTATTTCTCTGACAAATCATTAACTGACGTTCAACGTCGAAACGTACCTGATGTCTTTCAAATCCAATTAATTCTAATCTATCCAAGAAATGGAATCCATGAATCGCAATCTACCCTTTATCACAGAATCGAAATGAAGTACCATAAGAAATGTAAGATAGAGTCCATAGTTCTACTATAGTTATAAAAATCAATATCAAAGATATGTATATGGGAAAATGGATAAGCAAGTTACGAATTTATTGTATGGGCGACGTTTTTAATTTTTTAAAAGAAGAATCTTGCCGTTTTGCGTTAAGAAATATACTATACGTTACACGATTCCGATGTTAGTACATCGTTAATATACTCGTCTACCGATAAACTGCAAGAAGAATCGAATAATTCCA